TAAATAAATATATTTAATATTATAAATTTTAAATAAATAAAAAAATTAATAATTTAAATACTATATAAAATTATATAAAAAATAATATAAAAAATTTATTAAAAAATTGTCCCGAATCATTTCCCATAGCATAAAAAGCACATTGAAATTGCTGCACTTTTGTTGAGTAATTTGCAGCCTCTATTTGTATTTCATTTGCATATCAATTTCGTTCATTGTCTCCCATGATATAGCAGTTTGCTGTACGCAGCAAACATTATAGCTTTGATGCCATTGCTCCAACAGAGTGAGAACCATATTCGAGAGTAGTTAGAAGAGAGGAAGTACCGATATATCATTAACAAAGGAATCTTTACAAATTCCATATGGCCGCGGGGACTGGTGCTCCGCTTTTTATAGGTCCAGGTATGTCTCTATTCAGTCTATTATTTTAGTAATTTGAATTTACATATGGTGATCCTATAATTTCTACCCATCCTTTTTAATTCCTCAATCGGTATGGTGAAGTAGATAGAGAGTGACTCTCATTTATTGATTCTACTTGTAATTTCAATTTCTGTTTATTTCTGTCGATGGAAAGTTCATTGTTTTTATGAGCAGTGATAGAAGAAGTAGACGACTTGGTGAAAAAAATAATTGGCCCACTTATCGAGCAAATTCAATATGATGATGAGAGAGAGCCGAAGAAGTACCAAATTCGGAACCTTATTTTGGTGATAGTGACGGTTATTGCGGCGATGACTTTCCAGGCAGGGATCAATCCACCAGGCGGGTTATGGCAGGATAATCAGAAAGAACATGTAGCTGGAAGCGCCATTTTTGCATATCGGAAACCAGCAGCCTTCTATGTTTTCTTGGTCTTTAACACCATGGCTTTTACAACGTCAGCTTTCATCATTTTCTGTTTCACCCAGCGTTTCCCGCTCGGTCTTGAAATACGACTGGCTATTGTTTTTCTCATAGTGACTTATGCATGTGCAGTTTCTGCCATTATACCACCTGAATCAGCAAATCTTGCTTACATCTTGCTCGTGGCTCTTCTACCTATTGTGGTACTGTCTTTGATCTGCCGGTGCACCCGTCCGGAAGCAGCGGCAGGGAACAATTGAATCGTGAGTCGAGAAGCCGGACAACAGATGACGCAGGTGTAGATATTCAAGAAGCTATCAACAATTTAGCTCGAGTTCTATGCAGTTCACGTCATCGACCTTCAGAAGCTGAAGTTTGAAATATATTGAATGATTTGGGACTGAAGTTTGAAATATGTTGAATAATTTGGTACTTTACTCAGATCAAATTATTTCTGTTTATTTATATTTGGTTGAACATTCAAATAAATTAAGAGTATTAGGATGTTCACTTGGGACAGCTTAGGTATTATTATGAGAGTTGTTTTCAGTACTTCTTAATTATTAGGCTCTTAGACGTAATTATTAATTTTATTTTTTAAATTGGACTAGTCTACTTTTGCATCAATTAAAATTTATGTTTGAATAATTTTTTAGAGTTTGATTTTTATTAGTTATTTTATTTTATTGTTTATTAACATCATTAAAATTATATTATAATAAAATCATTTGCTTCGTATTTTCGGATTCATTGTTTGTTTATTGCTTCATTTACTATTTCTTTGTTAAATTTTGAGCATTTGATATTTAAAAAGGCGTCATTGCCATTCTTACAAGAGTTCAGCACATTTGAACTGCTTTATCAACAATCAACTGTAAGCCTCCTCTCCACATCAGTTCCATCACCCGTTCTATTGGAAACCTCCAAGTTGGCAGTGAAATCCCTGCTCCTGCCCCACAGCTACATCCATTGAGACCTTCAACATCAATGCATCCTGGTGTCGTCCCACCTCTTTCTTGTGGAATGCCTATACAGCCGGGACATGGTAACGCCTTTACACCCAGAATTGCACCAACTGTTAGCCAAGCTGGTAGAGCCCACACCCCAACCGGACTTAATTGTATAATTTTCTTTTTTCTAGAATTGTTGTTATATTTGTCTTAAAATCCAAACAGTAGCAGCAATTGTTGAATGTTAAACTAAAGGGTAAATTTGTAAATTTAAAATTATTTAAATCCTTCCCTCCTTTTACATTAATTATCCGAATACAAAGTAATACAATCTTTTCCTTTCCTTTTCCTTCCTCATTTTTATTTATTTAAACAAGATTAAAACAAATCATTTCCTTCCATTTTCTTCCCTTCTCTTTTTCTTCGGCAGGACCCTCAAATCGCCCCTTTAAAAATAGGGGTAGGGACGGATTCACCTTAAAAAAAAGCAGGGACAAAAAGCACCTTCAAATTATCGATCAATACAAATACCCCATTATTTAACTACTGACGTCATTACCGTTAAAAAATTCGTTTGCTCGTGCTGACATGGCTATTTTTGACACCGTGGCTAATGGACCTCATTCTTTTTCCTTTTTAACCAATATTTCCTAAATTAACCTTCATATCCACTCAAATTTATAAAATTATGCCATTCCTCAAATGCATATCTTGGCTTCTGTGTTTCTATTCCCATTTCCCCACCTTCTTTTTGAGCTAGATCTACAAGCCTCAATGTCCTTCATGACTAGTCAAGCAAGACAGCATAAGAGAAAATCTTAATGGCGAATAATTGTGAAAAAGAGAAAGTCTTAATGGCAAATAATTAAGAAAAAAAAATGAAGAAGAAGAAGAAACCCATGAAATCTCACAGTTATTGTTTTCAATGCCAGTAAATATTTTTTAGAAGTTTAAAGGCCAAAAAACAATGAAATGAACTAAATTTTCTTGAGAAACAAGAATAAATTACTACAGAAACATAATTTTATGAAAATAAGAAATACCCAAATGAAAAACTTACCTCAGAACAATGAAAAATACTCAAATGTCTGGGTTCGCAACGAACCTCACCTATAGTTGCTTCCATCACCTTTCACCAACCCAAAGTTCAAAACTCATAAAAGAATCAGCGCTTGCTTCCTAATATTCACCTCTCCCGTACTGACCCAAAAGCGGCCAAGCAACCATAGTAGACTATGAAGTGCCCGATTGCCCGCCGTCGCCACCCCAACCCTCCGCCTTTTCTCCACCTTCCTAGCGATGGATCAGGCCAACTCCTTGCTCTCCCTCATGAGGTATGTCTTTGAACCTCTAATTGCAGCAGCTTCGACTGCATCTTAGCCCCTTATTTTGAAATCTCTTTATTGAAAATTGATGGTCATCTTGCAGAATGTGTGAAGGAGGATCATTGACAAAAAGACTGCAGAAGTTTGTTTGGGATCATCTTCTCAAAAACTCTATGAGTAATTAGGTTTGATTTTCTCAAAAATTTCTTTGAGATTTAGGGTTTCGATTTTTCATTTTCGTTTATTACAAGGAAATTAATTTGGGAAATTAGGTTTGGTTCCTAATCGGTGAAACGAGAAATGGGGAAATTAGGTATATTGTGGAACCTAGATGATGTGGAAAGTAAAAAGAGAGGGACCCATGGGACATGGTGTAAAAAAATGCACAAATTGTACACGTAGTCTCCAGGTGTAAGAAAAATGCCATGTCATCATAGGCCAAACAGAATTTTTAACGGTAACAACATCATCTGTCAAATAATAACTTATTTGGGTGAATCATACTTTTGGAGGGTCAAATGTCCTTGTTTTTTTTTGGAGGGTGGATCCGTTCCTACCCATATTTTTAAAGAGGCAATTTGAGGGTTCTGCCTTTCTCTTCCTTTCCTCCCATTTCCTTTTATTTTCCTTCATTTCCCTACCTTTCCTTCCCTTTACTATTTTCTATCCAAACAAAGTGTTAATGTATAAGTGGGGAATATATAAATTGCTCTTAATATTATTACTTTTGAATAAATCTTCATCTAAAAGAATCATTTGACATAATTTGTCACTTTAAATTTTTATTTTTAAACTGAATAAGTAACTGCATTGAATTTTGGATGCACCAAATCAGTCATTGAGATCATGAAGTATTGGCAGAGGTTACTTTTTCTGGTATTCCCGGTATAAACCAAATGTAGTTATTTCTTTGGCAGAAAATAAGAGCATGGTCTGATTTTTGTATAAGGCTATGATGCACGGTGATGATGCCAGTTTGCGTGGGAAGAAATATTGAAAGCTTGAAGTTGCAACCTTTTCATGACAACCAGGTGCATTACACCCAAACACATCTCTTCATTAATTCTTTATAACATATTATTTGTTCCATAAGACTAGATCTCATGTGATGTTCGGTAAATGGATAGCTGATGTTCTCTGTATCAGATAATTCTTAGGTTCTTTGTTAGGTTCTTGAGCTCATTGCCAAAAAAAAAAATAAAGGAAAGAAGTTTCTAGCGCTAAAATTAGCTAAAATTAACTGGAAAATGTTCAAATTGAGAACTCAGGAATCTGATTTGATTACATTTAATGTGTATGTGTGTTTGTATATATATAATATTTGTTTTTTTGATAGTTATCAATTTATCCCAAGAATTGTTTTATTGATCAGGTTTGCCATTATAGACTGGATAACTATTGATGGAAACCTGCTTAACTAGGATGAATTATATTTGAAGCTCGTTTAAAAAGTAGAAACCAGCTATTTATGTAAGTTGCTTTTATTTTGGATATGTGATTCTAGTCTCATTTTGATTCATGCTTCAGGCAACTCTTAGCAAGCCTTGTGATTAAATCATCTTGGAGTGCTGCTATCTGTAATAGATGGCTTCAAAGGAAAAAATGGCTTTGCTATGCTTTTGCAGTTTGCTTTGCTGGAACACATGCTGAGAGAAGATATTATGTTGCTGTAAGACGTAAAAAGTCTTTTGAGCTGTGGTATCCACGGACTGTTATGCTTGTGTTTGAGTATTCTTAAGTAGGATCTGCTACGTTTCCTTGTTCTCCCTGGCTGTTGGCAGCCTTGTCTGTAATACGATTTGCTATGGATGAATGAGAAAAGGGAAAATGAGGATGTCCTAATATTAAAAATATTAGAACATCTGATAATAGTTGAATGATATGTAAGGTATAATGTGAGTTTTAATTTTATTAAATTTATCATGTGGTTATTATTGGATATCTTGACATTTTTAATTTCAAGACGTCCTGATTTTTTCTTTTCTTATGAATGAATACAATAGGATTTATTTTACTAAATATAGAACATGGGTGAACCATTTGAATATGTTTCTTCTTTCGCACTAGCAATTGTTTTTGTCCGACTTGCCCTCGCAGTTAGCTTGCTTAATCTTCTTCTTCCAAGGATGTGCATAATCATCACTACTTAGATAGAACAATCAAATGTTAGTATAAAAAAGACATACGAACAGCAATCGTTAGACGAAGTATAAAAAGAATGGCGTTTTATGAGCATAAGGTGTAAATTGCACTTCAATATTTTCAATTAAAGCAAATTAGTGCTTAGAAAAACAATTAAAGCAAATTGTCATTTCAAATTTTCATTTAAAAAAAATAAGTTTAAATTTAATAATTGTCGATAATTTTTTGTTAGACTTTAAAGATAATAGTTTAATGGAGGGCAACAGTTAAATTTTAGTTAATTTCTTTAAAATAAAATTTTGAGATGACAATTTACTTTAATTTTTTTTAGGTGTTAGTTTACTTCAATTTAAAAATAGGGTTTTTAAAAACTTTTTCCATTATAAATTTGTATAAAAAATAAAAATTAATATTAATTTTAATATTATTATTACATGTATAAATTTAATTAAATAATTGATAAATTAAATATTAATTTTTATTTTTTAATATAAATTTATTTAAAAAATATATTTATTACAAAAAAAATCCTTAAAAATATTGGTAGCGATGTGCACATTTTGCCCATTTTCTCTGGGTCTTCATCTTCAAGCCGCATTTGGTGGTGTATTTCGATGTGTGATTTCTGTCCTTTTATTCGCTTACACTTTGATTTGATGTTCCTCTTCGTTTCCCACTATCCATGAAGCTCGCAAGTCTGGGGCATTATTATTTTTCTCACAAATATAAAATTTATTAAAAAAATTTAAAAATCAGTATTTAAGGTTATTTTTTTACTAATTTTTAAAAAATTTTAAATGTGTAGTTTTTTAAAATTTACCAAAAGTTATTTTAAAAACTAATTTTTAATTTTTTAATAAATTTTAAAATTTGTAAGTGCAAAATTAGACGATCCATGAGTTTTTTAATCTTTCCCAAACTTACTTTACAACTGGAAATGACCATTGAATCCCTAACACTCTACAATTGAAAAAATATTATAAAAATATCAAGTCAAATCCTATGAGTAAGAAATCAAATTATAATATGTTTAAATTACTCTTAATATGTATTAGATTTGAATTACTCTTGTATTATTTTAAGAAAAGCTCATTGGATATTTATTAAACATTTTTTCAAAGTTAATTGGGTATTTATCAATTTTTTTTAGAACCAATTAAGAATTTATTTGGGAATTTTACTATTTCTATATATTGAAGGTGCATTTATAGTGTGATTAGTGTGTTATGAAGTGTATAGGG